CTCAATTAGATTTCTAATATAAAATTTAACCAGAACCATACATCTGATCCATACATCTTAAATTCTGAAATTTATTTCGAAGATTATTATAAAAAGAATGTAGAAAGAATCCCTTTTGAATTCATTACAATTAATTATCAGTGCTATCTATAATACCGTGCTTCATTACGATCAATGAAAATATAAAATTTGCGTCATTTAGGAAAAATTTAGAAAATTGTTGGAAAAGCCATTGAAAACACTAGGATATGAAGAACAGCTGATGGAAAATGACTTTACTAAATGTTTAAGACAAGAAATTGTGAAATGGGCATGTACCCTCCAATACGATGAGTGCGAACGATCAGCTCTTCGCAAATTAGAGCATCATCTCGAGAATCATGAAAGCAGGCCGTAATATTTTTTCTATAAGTGCAATTTCGTTTTGCATTCCAAATTATGATAAATTTTCCATTGACACATGTAATAAATAATATGTTTATATGTGTTTTTCTTTTTTTTGAATCTGCAGCCTTTTATCTTGGTGGAAGCACTGGACATATTGCAATGGTTTACGAATAGCTAATTCTTCTATATGGTCAGACGTAACAGATTTCTTAAAAAAATATGGCCGTAAATTGTTATCGTTCCTAACTTGTTCTGAATATGGTACATTTACTTCTGTATCATTTTTGGAATTATTCACAGAAGATGAAAGACAAGATATTACAATTATTCGATTACATATAGACATTTTTCATTCAATTATTATGAAACATTCTAACGCATATGACGTACTCGAAAAGATACTTATATCTTTAGAACTTAGAAGACCTACGTAAGTAAATTTTTTGATAAATATACATTATAATTAACTATAATATATATTATACAAATACATATAATAAAATATAAATTTGTACCAATTGATTTTATTTAGACAAGTAAACATATTAACAGCGCTGGTTGATATCATTAATCATGTATATTCTTACAAAAATCTTAAGAAGGTAAATAAATTCAATTCAAATTCTTTAAATTTGTCAGTTTTCTTTTAGGCCAGATTTCATCAGTGTATTAATTTTAATTTCGGTTTTGGCTATTTATCTTTTTCTAATTGTTAGAATTAAATAATGAGTAAACTATTGCGAGAATAAAGTTTAATCTTTTATTTGTGTAACCGTTTTGAATTATAATAATGACTGCATGATGCAGTACGTTTCTGATTGTTACGCTTTGTTCTTTCCATTTATGGAATACGATATTTTATTGCATGTTGTTTTTGTCTGTATGAAATAATAATAAATTATCTAACGAATGTAATTAAATTTTAAAAAAACATTTTCTTGTTTTAGGTTCACGATTATATAACAGGAAATAGGTACTTAAACGAATCACAAATTTTAAAAATTGTAAGTAAGATAGAAAGAAGATGGTCAGAAATTGTCGCTCATACAGGATTTACATTTTCGATTTATGAACATTCATTAATCTAATTTAAATAACCACGTAATATATAATTTTTTTTTTATACTAGAGCTCGAATCAATGAAAACTAACGTAAGCTAATGCTACTGTTACTGAATATATAGTGTTAATTTTGAATATTTTATTATATCAATTTGTTTATTTTTAATCTTTACTTAAATGTTATAATATTGTTTTCATTAAATTTTTACTTACGTCTCTATTTTCTGCATGTTTCATTTGTACATTACTGATTATTTTGGCTATTATAATGTTATCTTACCTATATTATTCAGCATATCATATAATCATTATTATTCGTTTGTAGCGCAAACTAATTAATAAATATATCTTAATTATAATGAATTAATAAACATTATTTTATTATGAGTACCCTTAGAATTAATTTCTCGTGTTAATATGGAACGTATCCAGTTTAACTTTTTCAATTGACATGATCGCGAAAATTATTATTATCTCTATATTATATCTTTTATATTTTCAATTTATTTGCAGTATGTTACTTATCATAATATATTATTAATATTTTTATTATAACTTATAATAAAAGTATTAGTAGCATATTACAATATGTAACACAACTTGTAACACAACTATGTAATTACATTGTATTTCATACCAATTATATTATTAAACTTATAATTTTTAGAATTTAAAGTAATTTTATAGTAATATTCAATTTATAACAAACTCTTAATTTATAATAAACTACTATTATACGTCTGCACTATTTATATGGCTACATTTTATTTTTTCTCTCTTTCTCTCTCCCCCCCTCTCTCTCACTCTCTCTCTCTGCAACCATCTCTTAATAATCTTAAAAATGTCACAGTATTAAAAGAATGTAAAAATACTCATGAGAAAAGTAAAAGAGATTATTGAAAATTCTGGAGAACATCTTACCAATATTTATAACATAGGATATAAATTTATTTACATACAAATCATACACACGTATTATAAACATAGGTAACCTTAAACTTACACGTAAGTACTTCTTAAATGATTCAAATAGTTAAAAACTTTCCTAAAATGTCACTGTATGTGAAATAGAAATATGTTAATAGTTCGATAGCAAAAGAAATCACACATTCGGATAAATTGATCAAATGTATCCACCCACATTATAATAATATATGTATTTTCTCGAAAGGTAAATTGACTAATATCTCGTCAACTAATATAGCACGTCAACTATATTTACATTATAGAAAACGGTTTTTTATTTACTATATAATGCCTATAGTCCTAACAGACTAGCATCATCGATAATATATTAGTCTGTTAGGACTTCTCGGAAGAATAAGATCGCAGTAATCAATAATATTCTACTAAAATCCATAGATCCGTTACAGTTAATATAAATATTATTTAGAAATTTAAATTATATTCTAATAGCACAATATTTTATTACACAGAGGTAAGTTTCTAAAAATATGACATTTGATTTATTTGCAGTCAGCACGCACAATTATTTTTTAAGTGCTAGCTTTGTAACAACACTATTTGACTTTTGAGTAAATGTTACTTATGTAAGCATGTACGTATAATATCTTAATAATGCAGTATAAATTATAATTTTTTGTAGACATTAATATGATATATTCACAGGATTTCTATTTAAGGTACTAATTAAGGGAAAAATAAACACGTATTTAATGTCAAATGTTTATTAAAATAAATAATAATTCAAAATTATTGTAGAACTTTAGGTTGCTGTAACGATGTTTTTAATCACAACGGTGCTAGAAATATTATTGAAGTAGAATATGTTTTAGTATTACTTTTATTTATGTATCGACTTTAATAACCTGTCACTCTCTCTCTTTCTCTCTCTCTCTCTCTCTCTCTCTCTCATCTCCTCTCTCTCTCTTTTTCTCTCTCAACCAATCATGTGCATTAACATCATTAGTATGCTATAATTTTTTTAATCTTGTGTAGATATTAGTCACAATGACAATTGCAACATGGAACTGGCATACATAAGGAGCAGTAT